AAAACAGGTACTTTTCTCATTTTGCCTTTTCAAAATGACATGCTTGCAAGGAGGCATGTGCACTACTTCCCAGGTGAGGAAACATGGCCAAAGGCTTGCCTCTGAGATAGTGCCAGGGACTTTATCTCAGGACTCCGGGGCCCCTGCTTTGGGCACTCTAACCTTGCCTCTTTCTGATGCACAGGTGTGCAGTGGGATGCACGTAGGTTCTGCACCGTGTTTGGCTCTGTGTGAGCACTCACGCGCAGAGGTGGGCACTCTCCCTGGGTGTATGTCCTCCCAACGGGACCCCGCTGAAAGCTCCAGCATCTTCCACCGACCCAGGGGGAGATCAGAGCCACTCACCCGTGCCGCAGTGCCAGCCGCACGAAGCCTTTGCGGTTCAGGAGATAAACACAGTGCTGGCCTGGGCCTGAGTACAGGGCCTCCTGGGCACCCCCGACGACGATGACCACGACCTGGCCACAGGGGTTCTGGGACAGGATATAGTCCAGGTTCTGGCCGTTCACAGAACAGAGTCCTGGGTACGGGAAGCAGGGAGCAGTCACCACTGGCACCTTGGTTCCTGAGCCTCTCTACCATATGGGACGGGTGAGCTCCAACTCCTGTCCCTACCCCCTCATCCCATTAGGTGTCCGCCTCTAGTCCATGTGCCCGCACCAGATCAAGGGCACCCACCCATGCCAGGCCCCTGAGGCAAGTGGTGGAGTTGGGACTCTAGCCCTGAGCACTGTCTCCTCCTCCTCCTCCTTCTCCTCCTGGCTCACCAGATCTCATGATATAGTCACGGTAGATGGGCAGGCGGAAGAAGCCGGCCAACGTGGCGAGGAAGGGCCGGAGCCCAGGGAACTGCTGGGAGAAGGCAGTGCTCTCTGTGCAGAAATTGCAGAAGTGCCCAAGGCTCATGAACCCATGGGGGTGGGCTGCCATCACGTATTTGCGGTCAGGGGGCAACTCGGCTGTTTTCACCAGCTGTGGGTGGTCCAACAGGATGGGGGAGAGAGAGGCAAAAGGAATGTCACCCTGGGAAAAGTTAGTCCTCCACCTCAGTGGCCCTCCAAGTGTAAGGTCTTGGGTGGGGCCAGAGGATGGCCGTGCGCCCCCTCCCCACAGCCTGTGCCTAGGCCATGTGACCAGTCACCTTGATAGGAAAGTAATCCCTCATGTACTTCCACATTGTCCAGTTCCTTATCCACGTGGAGTATCTTCCACCTGGATCACAGGTCACAGAAGTTGGTGTGGAAGAGTCCTCGCAGGCTCCTGCCCTGCCAGTTTTTGCTGTCTGGGGCCCCTGTCCCAAACTCACCTTGGTTGGGCGTGTCCCAGTCCAGGAAGAGCCAGGCAAAGTAGAGAAGGGAGACTGACCAGAGTGAGGTGAAGAGGAGGAGGAAGACCAGCAGGGTGCAGAAGGTGCCTGGGTGAGAGA